TGATATAGCAAAAAAAGTGTTTTCTTTTGTTTGTCATTTGAAACCCCCCTATGTTTGAAGAACCACATCAAGCAAGATAAGCAAATCTAGAGAAGTGCTGATGGGAGGCGGTGGGTGTTGCTTCACATTAAAGAAGAATATTAAGTTAACAGTCATCAGGGTTATCTGCAATCTGGTAGTGCCTCTCCTTTTATTTTTTTTTATTTTGCATATTAGCGCAGAGCAGATAGCTGGTATTGTTAACAAGTGAAGACATCAAAGTATCTTCTGTGCAGGTATTTCTGTGGGATCAGCCAAAGAAATTAGAACAGGAGACAATTCATGGAGTGACTTGCAGTTTGCACATTTAGTATGAGAAACGGCAGGCTGATACCAAGAGAGAAGGACCTTTCGTTAGAAGCGGTGCTCAGTTTCAACGTGTCATTTTTCCACGGTCTCTTTAGGTGGAGGAGGTATTTTAAAGTTCTCTCACGGGGTTTTGATTCAACATGACTGTGAATAGCTAGAACCCAACCCTACTTTGCAGGTGTTGAGGTTAGAAGTCCAAATGAATTCTTTCCTCAGCAATCCTGTTTGTTAGTCAGTGGATCACCTTTAGAATAAATGCAAGTTGTACTTAATTGTCAGCTTCCTTGGAGGACTGCGTTCTAGCCCACAGACGCAGGGGATTTCTTCATCATGCAAACGTGGTGGTTGTGCTTGCTTCTGGTAACCCGCTGTAACGAGGCTGTGCACCATCGCTGCTGCAATGGAACAGATGCTCCTCCAGTCTCCTATGGATTATGAATCGTACAGTATTTATAGACTGAGTTCCTCAAAGGGGGTGGGAACGGATCAGGAACAATGGCACTATGTAGGAATCAGGCTGCATGCTCCTTCTGATTAATAAGCTTTTAATAGGGCTATTTTGCACAGAAAGGATCTTGCTTTGCAACATATAAACATCATCTGCTTACTGTTTGGCCATGAAGTAGCTGACATGCTGTATTTGAGGCCGTCTACGTGTGTTTTTTAAAATGTCATCTCTATTAGTATTACATTCAAGGGACGGTACCAAGAAGCAGGTTGTTCAAGACCTTCTACCAGTATGCAGCATATAAGTCTGTGACAAGTGACATTACAGAAGGTCATGTCACTTTTAACTGCTTGCATTAGATCTTTCTGATTTCCCCAGTGCCCTTCCTTTGTTTGATTAATACTACTTGATTTCAAGCAAGGTATCGGAAGGCATAATTTAGTGAGTATTCTAGGGGCAATCTAAGATTTTTGCCATAGAACTTTTAATAAAATAACTCTAATGTTTCATTTTATTTTCATATGCTTTTTCCTGTCCTCCCTGTCTCTGCTCTCCCTCCTTCCCTGTCTGCTCCCTCCCCCCATCATACCTCCCCCAGGTACAATGCTTGACACAGAGATCCGAATAACTACTGTGTTCCCTCAAACCAAAGCAGCACATGTGCACTTTATTTGAATAGCAATGAGGCAGAATCAAAGGAGAAAAAATTCCATTGTGGGTTTTTTTTCTGCAGTATTCTTACTACAATGTTAAACTGAAATCTGTTGCTCAGATCCACTGTATCTCTCTTGAACAGCCTTGCTTTGTTCTGCAGAAATAGATTGTACTTCAGTATATGGCTTTTGTAAGGCTTCAGCAAACCGATTCTTCATATATGATACAATTATTGAAGAATCTACTTTCCTTGTTTTAATTTGTGTCAAAGTTCTGAAAACACTTGTTTTGGTGGTTTAATAAGTTGTATTATTGTGTCCGTACTGTCCGAATGTTCATAGTTTGTTGGTTTTTTTTTTTTCTTTTAACTCTTCCTTTTGAATTTCAAGACAAGTGAACACATGGACTATGCTTCTTGTACTTTAATGAATCATTTATGCATCTTGGGCATAGGAATGCTTTTACTACATTTTGTTTTGCTACAATAATTGAATTCTGTTTTCCTTTCCAGACAATTCAGTACTCTGAAGCTCAATGTAATTGGTGATATGACTAACCTAGAACAAGAGCATAGACTGCTAGTGGCTTTTGAATTAAAAAATGGAATGGAGGAGCTGGAAATCTGGGCTCAGTCCTGGGCTTCAAGCAATTTCAAAGGACTTTTTATGTCTTTTGAACAAGTTAACATTTTTCTAGTCTATAGAAGCTTGTAAAGTAGTTTGAGATCATTAGATGGGTAAGAAAAAAAAAGTGAGTTTGAAGTATTGTTACCTAGATAATTTAGAATGGGTATTGTCATGCAAGTGATTTCAGTGAGGTGCCATCATTTGCAACAATTTTAGAGGTTTCCAATTCAACTAATTTTCTCCATGCTAACTTTAGCGCTAATGTGAGATAGGCATTCTGCTGTTCAATCCTGTCAAGACAAGGAATTTCTGGATGTACATAAAAGAGATCTTTAAGTGTCTGGGGAATATTAATGTTGAAAAGTAAGAGACCTAGTGAGTTTAGTCAGCTCCAGGTGTAGGCAGTATCTGAGTCAACAGATTCAGGTTTATACCTTGGGCTTTAGTCACCTAATGATGTAAGTACAGACTTTTTTCCTGTGGCAAAACTGATTTAACAGGGTTTCCATCTCGCTGCAGCCCTTAACAGCTTGTTTTCATCCTCTCGTCTCAGTTCACCATTTTCTTGGTAGAGCTGATTGCTAGTGTTTCTGGAGCTGCTTGGTAAACTGGGTCACTGCAGCCATCCCCATTAAAAGTTTTAGGGTGGGTTTTTTTTAAGACCTCAATCAGTCCAGTGATGTAGTTTACAGCTCAGCTCCCCAAACACTTGGAACAGCCCAGGGAAGATGACAGTGAGCTACCGGGAGAGGAGAGGAACAAGGAGGTGATATAGGTGCATGGGAAACTGAAAATGCCTTTGCTTCCACAGAGAGGTCCGTGAAGACAGGACCTCTCAGACCCCTCCAAATGGGATGCGTAAAATGGCACACTGAGCCAAGCAGGAGCTGACAAGCATTTCAGCAACATGCTCTCAACACTTCCCTCTCTCGGTGCTGAGGTGTGTGACCATCCCAAAGTCTCAGGGCACTGTCTCTGATCCCCTTTCTTTAAGAAATGGAGCAGAGCTGGCCTGAAAGGGAAACAGAGGAGAAACTGGTGAGGGAGGCTTCTTCTTCATGGATGGTGGCTAGAGCACAGACTTGATTCCTTCTTCAGCCTGAGGGACTCACGAATACGTCTGCCTGGCTGGAAGCTGGTCAGAGGCTGCAGAAGATTCAGTCAGTCAGGCTCCTCCTGCTAAAATTGTTCTTCTGGGCAGGAAAGAATTCGAGAGTAATTGTTCCTTAATTGCTCGGGTCATGCTTCTTCCTTGTGCTCTTGGACATGCTCACTCTTCACTGTTTCTTTGTGTTTCTAGTTTTTCTTTTGATGCTAAGCTCCAGGACAGAGTAGCCCATAGACAGAATTGGAGGGTCCTTCCCCTCCCAAGTCCCAGGCTTGTTGCTAGAGGTGTTTTGGGACTGGGTTCAAACAAGGATGACCAGCTGAAACTGCAAATATTTTGAACTGTGCAGTTCACTTGCATGTATGCAGAGGGCTCTACTAGACATGCATGTTAAATCAATCTGTGTGTTCTTTACATTTTGCATTGGGCCCATGTAACATGATTAACTGGGATCTTCTTGATGGTTGAGCAAACTCAGAGAAAGGCATCTGATACACACTTTGTTTTAGAGTTCTTCTCCTTCCTGAATTTGGCTCTTGTGTAGTGTTAAAGTTCCTTTAGCTCTTGGACATGGATTTTGACTTGATGATAATATCCTTGCAGCTGTGTTTGTGGGGCTGATTATGAAGTTATAATTTTAATGTGTTGTCTTAAATAACAAGTACACTAAAACCGTTTGTAGCTTCACCTATCTAACAAAGTAAACTATGGTTTTAGTTGGTGGCAGGTCTCTGAAATAGGCCAAAGTATTAATGTTTCATATCAATGAGTTTTTCCTTCTCTTGTCCTTTTTATGCATATTTTATAATACATAGTATACACTTTTTCAATCTGTAATACAATCTTTGCTGACCTTCATTATGGCTGTTCTTATATCCTAATAAGTACTTATATATAAATAATGATATAAAGAGCCACATTATTTTCTGGTTATAAGGAGGTACAACTTTACTTCAATTCCACCAGTGGAGAATTTTCCCCAAGCTGAAGACTTGATCACAGTGTTATGAGGGAGTTTTAAGTCTGAATTTGCCAATGACCATCTTCGGAAAGTCATTTAATCTCTCTGTAAAGTAGATTTAACCACTAGAGTGGTTAATTGCATGCTCATGGTGTGATTAATAATTATTAATATTTGTAGAATGAATTGAATGTATGTATGTATTTTATGGTGTTAGACTGAAAAGGCTGTTTAAATGGAAAAATACATAGATGCAGACATGTGGCAACTGCAGCTAGCAATGAATGTGCATAAAGTTAGATGTGCAGATTGTATAAAATCACTATTAAGAAACACAGTGCTAATGCTGATAGAGCATACGTTATATATCAAGGTTGTAGATCATAAGGAGGGAAACTAGTATGAATTTATTCCCAGCTTTGTATTCTTTAAAAATCTCCTGGTGAATGCTGTAAAATCTATTAAAAATATTGCACGTTTCTGTAGGCAACAGTAAATTTAAAGCAAGCATTTGTGTGTGCTGCATAGGTACCAGTGGAGCTGACAAAGGATTCCTTTAGTTAAAACAATCATATATTGAATTTTGAACTACCTTTTAAATACTTAAATTGTCAAGCAAGTATTTTGTACAGGAAGGGTTTTCAGTATATAATTCCCTAATGTAGGTCAATTAAAGCTATAACACTTTCCTAAATTTGAATCTCAAGATCAAGTGTTTTTTTCCTAGTTGTACATTTTCCTTCTGTGCATTTATTTCAAAAGTTAATAAAGTTTTCATCTACAAAAGGTTTAGAATTGACAGAACAAAACTCTTCCTTTTTAAATCATGACAACTACTACTGTTTCTGTCTGCAGGTAGTGGAGGACATGCTAGAGGACGAGGAAGAAGAGGATGACAGAGATGACAAGGTAATTATCTTTCCTAGCACTTGGGTATCTGGGGATGGGAGAATTTAGACATGACACTGTTTTTACAGACAGTTAAAAAAGGAGTTGAAGTGTTTTAGTCCAGAAAATTGGACAGAGCTGTTTATCATCCTAACAATGCTACAGTGTGTTGCAGGAAAGGATAGAGGACTATAAATCCTGCCTTTTTTTTTTTTTTTTTTTTCCTTGGTCCAGAGCTGGGTCAAATATTTTTTCTGCCAGGAACAAAAATAATTCAGCCTGTCTGGAACTTGATAGCTCTTGTGAAGATAACTGCAGTGACAACTGTTTTTGAAGGACAAAAATTTGTCCTGTCTTGAGTATTACAAATAGGGCTGCACTTTAGGGGAAAAATAGTGTAGAAATAGCAACTCCATACTGGTTAAAGATGGGATATTGACATCTGTAATTTTCAAAGAATTACTTGGTAGAAGAATGGCTGATGTGTTTTGCACTCTGTATGACATTTAAATAATCACAATTCTCATAGACATCCACTTTATTTGAAGTTGGCATTGTGGCCCAGCAAGCTGGGAAACTGTTGCAGATCACTCAGCTATTTGAGCAAACGCGGTTCAGTTTGGAGGCTGCTGGTTGGGTTGAGGATTGCAACCACAGTAAATAACAGCTCATTTCCACGTCTTATTGAGCCAAGCTATGGGACTGCTCGGATTGGTTGTCCCCCAGGGAGAGAGAAAAACCAGAGAGAAGAAATTAGAGTGACCTTGCACCACTGAAGCAATGGCTAGCGCTGGCAGGACAGCTTTCTGGTGAGAGGAGTGCAGTGAAGACAGCCCTGTTGTTGCTGGGATTTTCATACCAGGAAGGAGATATTTGTGAAAGAAAAGGGAAAAAATACATAATTTTACAAGAACTCTGAATTAAAATACAGATGATTTTGACCTTCACAGATGTTCCCCCACTTCTGTTACAGTAAAGCAATGAATTTTTTTTTCGAGAGGAGAAAAACAGCGTATCTTAATTTATGCCCTTGACCTTTGTTTCTAGTTGAGATGTACAGTTACATACCACTGTAAGAATTCATATGCTGGCAGCAGCATTTGAAATGTCAGAAAATTCACCGTGATTAGTTAATCCCCTGAATGATTATTTTTCTGTTAGCTAACACCTAAGATCAGAAAGATGATAAAAAAAAGAGTAGTTTCCGCATTCCATTGCCAGTTCCAACATTTTACAATTGACAGAAAGTTATTATGTGAATTCTTCTATACATCACTTAAATCGTTAGCTACATCATTTCAGAATCAGCAAACACTGTAGTAACAAAACCTTCTTTTACAAAACACATATGTGATGGTTTTTAACACTAAATGATATGGGCATACACTTCTGGCAATAAAATATATGATTTATTGCAAAGGTCAGTCATGTAACTGTGGAGAGCTTGTATTTTAACTCAACGTGCTGGCTTTGAATCATCATTTCTTTTCTGATAAACACTGATCTGCCATCCATTTGAGGCCATTTTCTCCTGTTTCTTCCTGCTTTATTATTAGAGCTGGTGCAAAAGTATCATCCCGGTAGCATGTGTATTCCTGGATATTTTAATCACTGTGATTAGTTCACAAAGAATAGTGCTTGACTGCTTGTAGTTTAAGCCAGCCTATGTAGTTACCGCTTAGTGGTTTTGGGAAATTGCTAAACAAACTCCTTCAAAAAGGGAAGATGAAGGCGGGGGTCAGCCCCCCCACCCCGCAATTCTCTGGCGATTAGCAGATGCCGGGTAAAACATACCCAATTAGAAATATCACTCTAGGCTTCAATGTTGTGATCTAATATTCAGCTTTCTCAAATTGACACCAGAGTTCAAACATTTTTCTAGATCTGGTTACCAAGGTTGGGTAAAAGTGAGTACTGACATTACCGTGTGCATTCAGTGAGCCCTTTTATTGAATATTTAAGAGCTGTCTTTCTATACAGAAGGTGTTTAGGTTGATTTCTATAAATTCAAAGCTATCTTCATTATTGCAAACATTTTGAGTTCTTGTGATTGAATATGCTGTTTGAGTGGAAAAGAAAATTACACTTTTTAAAATAAGCATGTATGGACTGCCATGTATATTCAGTACTCTCTGCAGTGGGCATTATTTTGCACTGGGCTAAACTGTAAAACGTATGTGCATGGTTAGGGCCGAGTTGTTTGCTGTTAGAAGCTGGTAGGGTGTTTTTTCCTTTCTGGCACACTAGACGTACTCTTAACTGCTGCTTTTCCTCTTGCATCTTTTTGTCAAAATGGAATGGTGCAGTTTTGTATTATTTTAATTCATATATGTTTTTTCTTAAAGCTGTGTGCAAAATGAAGTTTTGTGAGAAAAAAGTGCACATTTTGTAACAGCAGCTGGTAGTGGCCTCTGGCTTTTATTATTTCTCTGGTTTTTTTCATACGGCATAATAGAAAAGTCAGGTAAATGGGTCTTCTTATGCGATAAAAGTAAAAAGATTAATAAATGTGCCAAAGCCTCACTTTAATTGAAACTGAAGCATATGTTGCAAGTATGTAAAATATGTCCCAGATGTTTGAGCATGGCCAGTGTCTTTGCTTTCCCTGATTACCACAAGGCAGCTATTAGTCCTGTAACCTTTGGACTTAACGGTAAATGGGGTATTACATGGCACAGAACTGGAGCACCTGTTTTCCATTCAGTAAAGACCCCTGGCAGGCTTTACCTAAGCCTATCCATATGTTTTCACTTAGCAGATTGTTGGGCGATTATGAAAAGTGTCTTTCTTTAGAGCCAGCTTAGATATTAGTCACTTGCTCACAGTGAAAGGGCAACTCTTTGGCTACTTGATGAGGTCCATGTGGGCATGCACTGATGTAGGTTATGGGACGCGTGACGGAGGGACGTTGCTCGACATCCCTAGGTTGCAGAGTCAGAGAAGTAATAAACTGAGGATGATGAATGCTCAAATGTATGTAATTAGCTAAAGTAATGCATTTTATTAATAGTGGTGTGTAATACTGAGAGGAGTTTGACAAGGTAGATTTGCACTTACGTATTACTTAGTCTCATTCTAATGTTCTGGATTTTAGTAACTATTTTTTCACCCTCTGCTGCAATTAAGGTAGACAGGACTGTCAATTTAAGGTCATAGAATGATTCTTTTTTTCCTGGAGAATATTAACTTTCATCTTCAGTTGCAAAATGACTAATAAACTAAAATGGCAAGTATACTTCTTGTTATATCAGTTACAAAGTGGTGCTTAGCAGTGAATACTTTTTTTCTAATTTTGTTTCTTTGTCATATTATGTATTTAGGAACTGAAAAAGATGTAGTTTGTTTGGCTCAGGCATTTGTCCTTAGTTTAATACTAGTTTTTCCATGAAATAGCACTGGATTCTGCATTCCATATGTTCTGTACCACTTGCTAAACCTATGCCAGCCACAGATTTACAGTTTAATCTGATTTCTCTCTCTCCTCAATTTTTTTTTTTTTTTGGCTCCCTTCCAAACACTGGCTTACACAGTATCTTAGCAAATAAGGGTCAGTTAAATTACATTAAGTCAAGTTATCAACAAGCTATCAAAAGGATTTTTACACAGTTATGTTATAATAATGTAGCAGTCAATATGCATAATTATGTATATAAGATTTTAGTTTGTCATTAAGAAGTTCAGGTATGCTTTTCACATAGCTTTATTCTTTGAAGAAGCTCCAGGTAAGATTTCAGATAATCACAAAGAATTTCAGCTCAGCATTTTATGGGAAGCCCTCAGCATGCCACCGAATCAGGCCGGTGAGCAATGCTACTATTGCACATTTAAGTGGAGGAAGATGCACGGTATGAGCACTATTTTATTTTACCTTTTTATTAACAGTAACAGTATTTTATTAATACAAAATATTCAAATAATTTGCACCTTCGGCTACTCTCTCTCTAGGCTTTCGTTCTTTGAAATATTCTTTGCAGTTCTCAGTCAATGTTATTATGTTTCAAGATAACTAGAAGCTTTTATAATGAAAGATAGTTGAGTCAAATTAAAATATGTTTTAAAGCTTTTAATCATCCCTGCTGGGAGGTACCAACTTTGTTTTCAAGCCAAGACACGTTCGTAACCTGTCTCAGAAGCATGCCCTGCATTTTTACCAAGAGCAGATCATGAGGAGGAGGAAAGATAACTCCGATGTAGCCTACATTTTTATATTCTGTAAAAGAGAAGATTGTAATCTATTGTAGTGGCAGTTATTTCCTGTAAAATAAATGGTGGAAAAACAATAAAGAAATAGAGGGTGAGTGGAGTGAAGAGAAAATTCCAGAACTAATAAATCCATAGGTTCACCTATAGCTTTATGCCGCCATTAAATTCCACATGAACATAGCACCTAAATACCAACTGTCAATAAAAAACTAACAGCAGCCTCCAGTGAAAACTGTAGCTTCATATGAAACTGCTGTCCCCTAAAAGCTTAGCTAGACTATGTGTACTTACCAAACAAACCTACAACAGGGCAGTCTAGAGCAGACAGCTGCAGAAGTCAAACTTTTCAGTGCAGTTTGCTTTCAGCTCAGTTTTATAGAGATGGTGATAAAAGCCATGTGATTTTTATCAAAATTGTACATAATAGGAGGAATGATGGTGTAGACTGTTTCCACCCATACACTGGAGAATCAGCTGATGCTGTTTCTGATCACTGGATCACCCCAAAGTCACAGCCATGGAGTTACTTTTGCTTGGATGTACCTTGGATCACGTGGAGCCTTTGCACAGGAGCTTCCACAAAGAGCAGTTTCCATCCTGCCCTGTACTGGGGCATCGGATGGGCTTTGTGATCAAAGTGTGCACCTTTGAAAACAGGTAACTTGGATGGACTTCTGAGAGGTTTACTTTTAGCGAGATCAGCCTTCTTCATGCCAGTGTAGTCCTGAAATACTATCAAAATTAGCACAGTCAAATAAGTATTAGTGAGATCAGAATCTGGGATTTGTATCTGAAGTTTGGCACTCAAGGAGGTGTGT